ACTACAAACACAACAGCCACACACAGAATTAGCTCAGAACCTCTGTACAGCAGCACCTCAGCCACCAGCTTTAAATTTTCATGTCTTCCTGCAATTACACACCTGAAAGCCACAAACTGTCCTTCCATGCCCCTGGCAACTGGCATCGGAAAAACCATTGGGGCCCTTTTCTTTACACAATTACCTGGGGCTAGTCAATACTAAACTGCTGTAGGTTCATACACAACTTTTTGGAGAACTCAGGTGTGCTATAATTTTGGTCTTCTATGAAAGCATTCATATATTGTCCAGACAAAAAGCACAATTAACAGTGCAGACATACTAACCTCATTTTGTGGTTGATGTTCATTTATCAGAGTTAAATACAAGAAGTGTCTGCATAAAAGAACCTCATCTGCTCAGTAATTTTACTTGGAAATACAATAACTGCAAGTACTGTATTTCTAAGCTACTTTTAACTCCTACCTGTTGTGCATTGGATTATTTTTACTCTGAACACCTGAGAACCTGCCTGGAGCTACATTCAGCAAAAGGAGACGACTGCTGCCAGCCGCAGCCATTAACAGTATGCAGGTAGGACCCATCTCCAGAGGATTTGTTAGCTATGACAGAATCTTACTTCTGCTCTACAAACAGCACATTGATTTCCTTGAACAGAAATTCCCTCAGAATGCCAGAGAAGAGTAAAATTACTTTCCCTAGCTTTTGGGAGAACAAGTGCCAAAAGTGCCTGCCCACCAAACCCTCCCCCAGCACCAGCCCAGCCACCCCTACACTGCTGAGACAGCCACAGCACTTCCATCCTGCACTTCTTCTTCAGCTGCCAAGGGTGTACTTGTACTCAGACTGCCACAGGCAAACATTCTTACCCCTCCAGCTATTGAAGCCATGCACTGATGGACATTTTAGGCCACTTCTGGCCATGGTAGAGGAGCTGAAGGGAAGTCTCACTTTTGACAGCAGGATGCACATGGTGGCTGTTGGGTGCTGATCTGTGCTTTCTGGACAGCTGCCCTAAGTGACATCCCTACCAGAGAGCCCAGTCCAAAAGAGTAGGATCCACTGCCAGGAGCTGCTTCACCAGTGAAACACCCCCAGCTAGTGCAGGGAGCAGGAAAGGTAAGAACAAACCCAGACAGACCTGCCCTTCACCACCCACCCACTCCACCAGTGAAAGAATTAAAGGGGGAAAGGCTGAAGTGAAACAGAGGCAGCTCTGCCCCTGCTGCCCACCCTCCTCAAATGCACCTCCCCAAGGAGACACGGGCACCCTCCACTGCTGGGAGATGGGCTCAGACCAAAACCTTCCCAGGAACACAGGAAGGGCCACAGGAAACAACCAGACCCAAGAGCACCGTGCTGGAAAGCACCTACACTGCAGGCAGCCTCAAATCAGTTAACAGGCCAATCACTACTGCCACTTTTTATTACAGATGGAGATGACTGTCAGGAAATAGACTTAAAAAGTACAAACATGATTTCCTCACAAGATAGTTTCCTCATGTCATTTGATTTAGATTCTCTGAACTTCACTCTGAAACACCAACTCTTCTGATGCTCTTTCCAGAGCTCACATTTGCACTCACAGCTGGAAGTAACTTGCCAGTTTTATCAACTTGCTTTTGGAGGATTTGGTGTGTGAATGGAAAGAGCCTTTAAAACAAGTAAGGTAAAGCAGAGATTGTTTCAAGATATTATTCCACCACAGCCCATTCAGAAATGATCAGGAGCAAGGGGCCCCTGCCAGCCTGACCATAACCCAGAGGTGCAGCACAGACAGCCCAGTGCCAGCACACAGACTGCAAGCCTCTCACAAGCGTTTCACTGTGCCAGGTTTGCACAGGCAGCACCTTCAAGGATAAGGGAAAAAAGCCATCTTCCTTTATCCTTCAATCTCCCATCTTCAGTGACTACACACAGCTTGCAATCATTACCTTGTTACTCTTCTTAAAACAGTTTCTCAGCTATCAGTGACCATCAGAATCACCAATTTAGACTTCACACACTATAAAGTATTAGATACCCAAACAACACTAAGCTGAATAACTTGTCAGTCTACATTTTTAAGTAAACAAAAAATACTCACAGCCTTACAATAAATTTTTTAAAGGCCTGGATAAAAGCAGAAGGTAGCTGCACCCAAAATGGGCCTCTAAACCAGGGTCTACAATAGTACCCTATTCAACTACTTTTGCACCAAAAGACACTCATGACTGGAGGGCTGTAACTTGCAGAATTTTTCCTGCCCTCAAAAAAAATTCTAAGAGCTTAATAAAAAAGAAATTAAAGATATTAAAGTAATTGCACACTTCCAGATTTTGTTTTTAATGAGCTATAATATTAATGGATGTGCTGGGCTTTTCTAATCATCATTCAGAATGAAGCTGTTCTGGCAGACAGTAAGAAGTGCCCTGCCACAAATTTCTTCTTATAAGCTGTGCTTCCAACTCAGAAATAGAACTATATTCCCATTCCCTTCATAAAGCATTATATTTCTTTTATCAGTACCTTGTGAGTTCTGGTCTCATTTCCCCACTTCCAGCACTAAGCTTAAAAGAGCATAATTAGATATATAGATAAAGCAGTTATTTGTGGTTTGGTCTTTTTTCTCTAAAAACAACAAGCTCCTGAAAATATTTTCTTCCCAATGTGCCCTTTAACAATGATTTTTTTTAAGAAAGCCTTGCACTCTTGAAACCCCTGCCTATTTTCTACATTACTTTTCCAGAAGTAAAATTATTATGGCCTTTTTCCATACTTTTATTCTGAAGGGCTGATCCCTTAGAGGGCAGATGAGCTAACAAAAAGCCAAGGACATCATCAGCTCCAGCACTTATCCAAAGCCTGACTTTCATCCCACCTCTGTGATCCTGTTTCCGCATTATTTAAGGAGAAAATACTGCAAGTCATGAAGCTTGCTTCATAATGACAGGCTGCATCACAGACAAGAAAAATATTGTGCAATTTGTTTTCTGCAGTGAAAAAAACTGACCTCATATTTCTCATACCCGCCCTCCTGGGAGTTTAGTTTTATCTCTTTTTAAAGTTAAGGTGATTCTGATGGATTCTTTTTATAAAGAGGTCCACAGAACACTTCTGGCAAGCATGAAGTAGCAGACTGTGATGCAGGGGTTGAAATTCCCGCGCCAAATATGCTTGTGGGTTTCCTTGGTAAGAGACCACAGCTACTTACTATTTAACCATGCCCTCAGATGATGTTTCTCACTGACTTGGGAAGACCCATATCCTGGGGATGGATCATAAAAGCAAAGAATTTACATTCAAGAGTAATTTGGTGCAACTTCTACCACAATGTACCGACAGCTTTGGGGGTTTCTTTTTCTCCTTTATTCCTTCCTTCCTTAAGCCTGAGAAAAACGCTAAAACAAAGTCATGGGATCAAGAAGGAAAAGAACTATTCAACATCAACTAATCTTCATCACACTGGAGTTCTCACATGTTTTCTCCAGCAACAGACAAGCTAAAGAATGTCTGTTTGGGCAGTACAGTCATGTACTTCCACAGCCACTACTCCCCCCATGCTCAGCTGCTGATGGTTCAGGGCAGAGGCGCTGTGGCAATGCTCAGTGCAGGCTCCTGATATTTCTGATAAGGACTCACTGGTAGAGTCTCCCACAAAAGCCTCAGGGTGTGACTGAGGCTCCTAGCTAACACCCCTCTGCAAAACACATCTACCTCCACTGACAGCCACTGGGAATATTCCCAAGCTGCTGTCTTTGGTGCTCCTTGGAGACTCTCTATCTAGCCAACAAATAAAGGGAAGCCAGAAGTTTCCCTCAAACACACTAAAGCAAGGTAGGAATTTGCAGCTGGTGCATGCTGGAAAAGAAGAAGCTGTCCTACGAGGCCTAGCATTACAGCCTCCAAGAAGAAGGGGGGGAAAAAAGGTATTTTTACTGTATGATCTTAAACTGAGAGATACTGACTCAGTGTTGAAACAACCTCTCTTTTCTGCAGTTAAGTTACCGGTGCAAAGACAATAAAGTCAGTCCTTATCCATCATCTACAAGTTTAGCAGAAGAGATCAGCGTCTCAATTTCCACCTGACAGAGGGACTTGAAGAGAAGGAAAGCACGAACAAACAGCAAAACCACAGAATAAAGTAAACACTGATTAAACTCCACTGAAAACATGTACTACCAAATTTAAATTTCTACATACTTAGGTTTAAAAAAAGTCTTGCAAATTGCAACATCCCCCGTTACTGCTTTAGCATTTCTGAATTAATTGCCTGGTGACAATTACACAATTTATTTTTATGCTCAATACCAAACTCTCACAGTTTGCGAGAGCACAGAATTTACCGAGTAAGAACGTCTGACAACCCGGAGATGTAAAACACAGTTTAAACAACGCTCAACATTCTACCGAGGATAATTAAGCACCCTCATCATAATTTCCCCAATTCTGGGGTGTTGCTGGAAGGAACGGGGTTTCTCGCGGCCGCAGCGAGCTCGAAGGCCGCCCCGCAGCCCCGGGCACAGCCCCGGCACAGCCGCGGGCACTGCCCGGCCGGGTGCTGCCCCGTGCCCGCTCCAGCGCTGTGCTGTGCCGGGGGGGCCGCCTGCTGCATCCCGCTGCCTGCGGCTGCACAAACGCGCTCCCAGCACGCCTACGGGCAGCCAACACAATGGAAACGCAGCCGTGAGGGACAGATTCGTTTTATTGTTGAGACAGCGCTACGGTACAACCGAGTGGCCCGGGGTCCAGGCCGCCGCGCCAGGACGGTCGGGGCAGCCCCGGCTGTGCAGACCCGCGGCCGCCCGGGGCGGTCGGTGCGGGCCGGCCGCAGCCCGCTCCGGGCCGGGACACGGGGCCGGGCCCGCCGCGGTGCCGCTGCCCGCGGCCGGCAGGGCTCCGGGGCGCTGCGCGGCACCTTCTGCCGGCAGCGGCGAGGGGCGGCGGGCGAGTGAGGGGCGCGGGGCCGGGGAGGAGCGGGGCGGCGGGAGGGCGGAGGGGCGCGGTGCCGCCGTACTCACCGCGCGGGCCGGCGCGGAGCCCGCCTGCACTTCCTGCGCGCTCGGAAATGAGCGGGCGGGACCCTCCGCCGCGCCGCTTAAAGGGGACGGGCCGGCCGCCCCCGACCGCCCCCGGGGCGGGACCGGGTCCCCCGCGCAGTCCCGTGAGGGAAGCGGGGCCGCCGCCGCTGCTCGGCAGCAGGGAGGGGCCGAGGCACCTCCCTCCGCTCCCGCACCCCGCCCTGCGGCGCCTTCGGTCTCCGCTGCCCTGAGGCGGGGGCGCGCCGCGCTCCGATGCGCCCCGGCAGCGGCGAGCAGCGCTCGTCTGAGGGCGAGAGCGGAGCGGATCAATGCACCCTCCGCGGCTGTGCCGGCCGCGCCCGCCGGCGGGCCCTCAGCGCCGCGGCCGCACCGAGCGCCACCGGGGGCTCCCGGCCCCTGCACTGCCCGCTCGCAGCGCTGCCCGGCCGGGCACTGACCCTGCCTGCCCTGGGAACAGCCCCGGCACTGCCCGGGCACCGGCAGCACGGCTCCTCTGCCTGCCCTGCGTGCGGCTCCGCGGCTCGCCCAGATCTTGCAGCAGCACAGTGATGCTGATTTCTCGCACGTTAGCAAAGCCCTGAAATGTAGCCTTTATGGTGGAAACAAGAAGCAGAATTTCCCAATAATTGTTTTTAATTATCCAAGTATTTATGTACAGTTCTATCTTTCCAGAAGAACATTTCACTGCACTAATTTTTTTAATTATTAGTTTTCTGCAGGGCTTGACCTGAAAGGAAGCCAGGCTTGGGAACTCGTGCACCTTCCAGCCATGTGCATGAACGGTTGCTTGTAGGAGTTTAAAAGGGGAAAGCTCAGGAAGCTGGTAAGTTAGGAATGTTCTTCCACAGCTATGTACCAAATGGTTTTGGTCCTGCTCATCAAAAACAGAGTCGGAGAAAGCCAGTAAAGGCTTATTAGGTACAGGCCTGCACCCCCTAATTTGATATAACTGCTGGATTGCCTGGACTGCTCACCTGCCTCAAGGCAGACGCTGAGGGCGTCCCAGAACAGAGCCCCATGGTCCGAGCAGCAGAGGCTGCATCCTTTGTCATGCTACTGCTGAGATCTGTACCCCATTTAGCACAGAGCAGCCCTTTGTCTTCAGGCAGGCATAAACCCATTTGTTCATAAATAGCTGCACCACATGGCGTGGGAGGGGCTGGGTGTCCAAAGATCAGATCTGTTCAGTCTGGGTTTCAAGCCCTCAGACAGCAAAGGTCTTTCCAGGGAATGCCTTAAATGAACAAGGAGAAGACACTTGGCTGGTGTTATCCAGACTCTTACCTATCCATTAAAAGTGGTCACAATGCTAGATCATCATTTTAGGTATCCCTCCAAGATATACTTAAAATGTATATTCATAGAAGAGAATTATCAGAGGATTTTAAATATTCACACATGCACTCCTCAAACTAGGTAAATGTGGGTTTATTACTCTTTGAAAACAGTTTGTAAATATACTATTTTAAACTTGACCTCATGCAGGATTTCAGTGTTGCATGTTACAGGTGACTGTTGAACATCCTGCTTGTAGCCTTTGTTGTGGATAATGGGTAGGAGTTTAGTAGACACCTTCACACTGGAGACTGCAGTGTTCTGTAGACATAATATTTGTGAGTACAAGAAGATAACGGAATGGAAATAACTGAAATTACTGATTTTGTTAACTAACCCTACATTGAAGATCTGAAAGAAACTCTGACAAGGCTGCAGCACCCACTGGTTGGCCTACAGAGAGCAACCAGACTCTGAATATTACCTTTTGTGTTTCCCAGGTACCACCTTGCTCCACAGGAGCTTACTGCTGCTGTGTGGGCACAGCTATAGAGGGCTTTCCAGGGCATTATACACAGAATACTTTTTCTCTAAGTGCCAGTTTCCTCTGCTTACCAGAATCTCTTCTCTACCAGAAAGGATGTTTTTTTCCCAGACTGAGAGAAGGAAAAAATAGATTTCTTAACCTCTCATAGGAACAACATGGGTATTCATAGTGATCTCTGTATGAAAGGTCTGCCATGTCAGGAAAAATGATGGGTTTGCAGTTATGTATAGTTTTCTGATTATTCTATCAGAACAAGCTCTTCTAAGATTAGATATTCCCTCATAACTCAGACTTATATTTATGCAGACAGATGTTATAGTTCCTATTTATGTTAATCTTACAGGTGCACAGAGGAATTCCCACGTTGTTTGTGAATAAAGCAGGGAATAAAACATTTAGGAAATGTCTGTGTTTTAAGATACAATTCATTTCAGCCTCAGCATTTTTCTTAGGCAGTTGCAGATTTCCTAGCATCTGAGAGCAATAGTGTATATATTTATATATTTACGTGACTCAACTTTTAATTTTCCTAAAATATTATGATAGGATGGTTATATAGGCGACAGACTTTAAAAATGTTTCCCTAAACTTTGCTAAACACTGGTTTTAAATTGGTACAGTTGGGGGAAAGGAAGTGGCTGGCTGGCAATAGCTTATTCAAAAAAGAAGCATTTTCCAGAACAGCATTAGCTCCAGCCTCTAGTGGTTTTGGTTTTCTTTTTCGTGCCTTTTTTTTTTTTTTAAGAATATGTGTGGGCTGGAGGGGAAGAAACAAAAGAAAAAGAGAGAGAAGAGCTGATCTGAGAACATGATACCAAAGTGAAGGAGTAATGTAAATGAGGCCAAAGGAAAAAAGAAAAAAAAGCATTCCTTCAACAAAGGATAGTTTTGTTCTATTAACCTCTTGAGCCAAAGTGAAACATGCATGTAGAATAAGAAAAATGGCCCATTATTTTGCCTGAAAATTCTGAGCTTTAATTGTCAAACAATAGTCATTAGTTTGCCTTGACACAAGGCTTTTTGTCAAATACCACAGCTCAGCTTTGCTGATGGCACAATTCCAACATGATCCCATGTGAAACCGCTTGCTTTTTCCTGAAGTGTTGCAAATTATTTATGACACATCCTGAACAATGCAAGCAAAATCATGAAGAAATTTTAATAGCCCAAAATCAACCCTCCTACACTATTTTAATCATTGTGATTTACATCCCTCATGATCCTCAATGTGAGCTTCCCACCAAGTTCCCCTGTGTCACCCTTTGTCACTGCTCCTGTTGCTGTGGGCAGGGAAATGGGGCCGTGCTCTGAGCAGCATTAACCCACGCCTGCCTGGGGCGATGCCAGGCTCCAGCTCAGGCTCTGCTGGCTCTGCTGCAGTGTCAGCACCACCTGGGCAGCCCAGCCCAGGGCCTGCTCTGGACCTCTGGAAGGACACGGTCCTCTTGTCATCATGGGGCATCAAGGACACATGTACAGGCACTTGGAATGCCAGGATGTTTTACCTTTCAGAGACTGGAATAATCCCTTGACTTACCTGAGCTTTAGGAGAGACAGCTCATCTGTGAAATTAGTTTGTACCAACATACCATGCAAAAATCTTCCTGTATTTATTGTTACTGTGCCCTTTATTTTGCATTGAGCAACATTTCCTTTTTGTCAATGCCTAGGCTTCTGGCCTCTACATCTCTGAGTGCTGAAGGACTGCATTTTTTCATGTAGTGTTTTGGGATCAAATAAATAGTAATTCTTTGGTATTATAATGTACTGAATTTTGGACTCAGAAGCATATAATTTATATAATGTTTGGTAAATGAAGTGCCATGGATTGTTCATTTCCTGTTGTTTTGGGATCACAGTTGCTAAATTACTTCCTTTCAAAAATTCTCATTAGAAAACAGTATCAACTAACTTAAAATTTATATAGAGTCCTTTCATACATTAAAGCAGACCCAATAATTATGGTACTACTTCATGAAAACAGAAGATGTTCCTTATCATAAAAACATAATCAATACAATCACAGCTGTAAGTGAATGTAAATAAGATTTAGTTTTATCTGCTATCTAGAAAAGCTTTCTTCTGATAACAGAAGTGCTCACTGTAGTCCACTTGCTTTTTTCTTTGAATAGTGATTGTTTAGCATCTGGAAAAGTGTATGGAAGGATAAATCAGAATTTTCTGGATACAATCTCTTCAAATAACTTTTTCTCTTTGAAACCAACATATAGTTGCTGTTAGCAACAAATGTTTGCCAGGCTCTGTGACAGCAGCAAATGGGTTGTGGAAACATTCCTGTACCACCAGTACAGTATCACTCTGGCTGGTGCCATGGGGGAAAGGAATGCAGAAGGGGACGAGCAGGGAGCTGCATGAAATGCCTGGGCTCTGCTGCTGCTCCAGCTGAGAGCAGCAGGCCACGTTCTGCAGTGGTGGCTGAGCACTTTCCTGGCCCCATGGCCGTGTTTTTCCTGGCAGCAACAATGGGTTGTGTGCCCACGGTTCCACTGCTCGCTCACAGCTGCACCAGGGTCTCACACCAGAGTCAGCAGTAACAACAAATATGGAAAGTGATCCATTAGGTACTGCTGGAATTCTGTACTGGTTTATTTCTGACCATTCCAAAACACCTTTACTGTATAGCTTCTGTCTAATGCTGTAGGCATTTTTCTTAAAAGAAAAGAAAATTTTGTCACGAATACATTGACTGCAAAGCAGTTCTGAAACAAAGTCCAAGCAACCATATTCTGTGCTTAGAATGGAAAACAAATAGGAGGGTTTTGACTGGAAGATTTGGTGTTATGCAAACCATACTAAAAAATTACACAATCCTTTTTTTTGTCCTTCAGTACTGCAGAACATTAACCTATAAATACCATAAAGTAACATATTTAAAATCAATTCTAATAAATTACTTTTTAAATTGTAGACTTGACTACCTAGGATGCAGCAAAAGAAGTAAGTAAGTAAGTAAGTAAGTAATTCTATATATGACATTTAGGCCAGAAAATCTTTCGTGAACACTCTTTGTCTGATGAGATAACAATATAAATTATCAAGGTCTTTGGCTGGTTATCTGGTTGGGGGTTTTTTCAGTGCCTGAAGGCCACATGCACGAAAGCTCAAGTTATTCAGCTAAATATTTACAGTAAGTGCAATCTTTCTAGAGAGAAATATTTGGGTTTTCTTAATCTCACGTTCATGTTTTACACAAAATACTCTATCAGTATTTAATATGTGCTA